CCAAAACGAATAAGGTTACTCTATAATTAGAGTTAGGAGTGATCATGGAACTGAATTTGAAAATCTTGGATTTACTGATTTTTGTAATTCTAATGGTATTAGCCATAATTTTTCAGCACCTAGAACCCCTCAACAAAAAGGAATTGTTGAGAGGAAAAATCGAACTTTAGAAGAAATGGCTAGAACCATGCTTTGTGAAAACAATTTGCCAAAATATTTTTGGGCGGAAGCCACAAATACCGCTTGTTATGTTGTAAATCGAGTAATGATTAGGTCAATCTTAAAGAAAACTCCATATGAAATTTTCAAAGATAAAAAGCCTAACATTATCTATTTTCATCCTTTTGGATGTAAATGTTTTGTTTTAAACAACGGTAAAGACAATCTTGGCAAATTTGATGCTAAAAGTGATGAAGGAATTTTTCTGGGTTATTCCTTAAATTATAAAGATGATCAAGTATTTAATAAAAAAACTTTAGTTGTAGAAGAGTTTATACATATTGTTTTCGATGATAATCCCCTTCCGAGGAAGGATTCTTGTTTGAATGATGATGTATGTATTATAAATATAAACGACGTTGAACATGACGTTGGAGAACCATCATCAAAGGAAGAAACGAAAGATGAGGAAACTCAAGATCCTCTCGAGAATCCAAATATTGAAGAAAGGGAAGTATCTTACCCAAGAGAGTACAACTATGTCAAGGATGGTAAATGTATGGATGTTAAATTATATAGGTCAATGATTGGTTCTTTGCTTTATCTAACTACAAGTAGACCAGACATTATGTTTAGTGTTTGCTTATGTGCTATATTTCAATCATGCCCTAAGGAATCACATTTACTAGCTGTTAAGAGGATCTTTAGATACCTTAAGGACACTCCTAGTTTAGGACTTTGGTATCCTAGAGACTCTAGCTTTAGCTTGCATGCCTTCTCTGATGCGGATTATGGAGGATGCAAATTAGATAGGAAAAGCACCTCCGGTACTTGCCAATTCCTTGGAAATATGTTGATTTCTTGGTTTTCAAAGAAACAAAATTGTGTTGCATTATCTACCACTGAAGCGGAATACATTTCAGACGGTAATTGTTGTGTACAAGTTTTATGGATGAAACAACAACTTTTTGATTATGGAATTGAAGTAGGTATCATTCCTATCAAGTATGACAATACTAGTGTTATTTGTCTCACTAAAAATCTCATCCAACACTCTAGAACTAAGCATATTGAAATTAGACATCACTTCATTAGAGACCATATCGCTAAGGAAGATGTAGTTCTAGAATTTGTTGATACTTTGCACCAATTAGCGGATATCTTTACAAAACCTTTAGACAATGAAAGATTGTGGACACTTAGGAGAGAATTAGGTTTAACTGACCTATCTTCACTTAGTGTTTAAAATAATTTTATCACTTTTAAGTATAAATGAAAAATGCTTATAATAATAATTTTTATTGCATTCTTTGCTATTAGTTAGGGGGAGTTTATGCTGCTTGATGAAAATTAATTTTATGTTCAAAAGTAGTTTAAGGATTAATTTTATTGATTGAACATGATTAATTTTAAATATATGAATTGCCAATACCACTAGAGCCAATTAATTTAGCATTTTGAGTGTTTAAAATAGATTTTTGACATTTTTGTACTTCATGCATCGATACACCTAACAGTGCATCGATGCATCCTTGAATGTGCATCGATACACCATGAAGGTGCACCAATGCACGCCTTGAATGTGCATCAATGCACAAGGCCATGCATCGATGCATCCATCAGGTTTTGGTTAAAAACCCTGATTCTCTTCTTTGTTTCAAAACCCTCAAAAACACTCCATTGTCGCCTCTCTTTCTCTAAATCTCCTTTTGCTCAAAATCATCAAAAATTTGTCGGAATCTTCGAGCTTTTCATCTCTATATCCTGCTACTATCATTAAATCGTGCAACACAACATCTCATTTCTCTTAAATCCAAAATTTTCAAGGTATTTTTCTAAAAACCTCTATTTTATCATATTCTAATCTTAGGACTAGTTTTAATTAGTTCTAGGATGAACATTTTATTGGGCATTGATTGTTTGATTATTACAAACTAGATTTTACAACTAATTTCATCAAAACCTCACAAATTTTCAAAGGAATTTTTGAATTTTAGAAATTAAAAAATTGAAAAATTGAATTTAATTTTTAAATTTGATGTTTTTGATTTAATTATGTTGTTTTGATAAAAACAATACATATTATGATTTTACAAAAATTGTTTTCAAATAGTTTTCAAAACCTTGCCCATTAGGATTCGGTTTAGAGAACCTTGAATTATTGAGGACTCTATTGAGTTTTGGGATTGATTATTGTGCATACATGTGTTTCAAATTGCAGGTTACATTCCTTTTCTGAATCTTTAAAAATTTCAAATCTCAAACGCCCTAGGACTTCATCGAGTCGTTCTTGTTCAAACCAATCTCCTAATCTCGTTCCTCCTCCACCTACATCTCTATTAGGATCTTGTTTTAACATGCCTGAGCATCGTAGAGACGAATTGTACTCTAGGTACATAAATTCTTTTCAATCTTATAGAATCTGGGAAGAGCGTATTCCTTCTCTTCAAGCTATGATAGATATTGACTTTGAATACCTTCCGATTCTTAAAGCTTGGAAGTTTGATAAAATGTTTCAGCTCAAACCTATTGTTTATCAACAATTAGTCCGCATTTTCTATTCCAATGCGGTATGTATTCAAAACGAAACTCAATGTGGGACTGTAGCCATTAGATCCTATCTTTTAGGCCAATATATTAATATTTACCTCGAGACTATAGCTTTCCGTTTTGGGTTAGATGATGATGGGTTATATAATGAGAATGAAAATGTGGAATATCCCTATGTTCCAAATTCTAGTGTTAGTACTCTGCGATCTCACCACGATCGTTTTCTTCATTTAATGATCTCTTGGTGGTTTAGACCATCTGGAGGTAGGTACTCCACTCTTCGTGCTAGGGATTTATGGTGGATGCACTGCATTAAAACTAAGATCAAAATAAATCTACCCCACATTATTATTTTTAGTCAACTAGTGGATATCATAAACATTGTTCCTTCAAAACATGTTGAAACATTGATTTATAGATGTCTTCTGAGTAACCTCTTTATCAAACTCGGTCTAAACTTCTCTCTCGACAATCCTATCCCACTCCAAAATCAAATCAATCTTACTTCCTTGAAGAAAGCGGATTGGAAACAAAACGAGGAAACCGGTCTTTGGGTATTTCGACCCGGTAAGCAAACTCCGGGAGCTAGCTCTTCACGAGCTGCTCCTAGCTCTTCTCGTGCTCCTCGTTCTCCTCCGGCACCGGCTGCTGACGATGATCCTGAGTTTCAACAACTTATGCAAGATATCGACGATCACGTTCCAGACGATGAGCCTGCACCAGAACCGACACGGCAAGAAGATCAAATGCCACCATATTTTTGATCCTTCTTGGAGTCGTTTGATCTGAGGTTTGCCTCCATGGAGTCTCAGATTACTGAGTTTCAACGGGAGATGCGTGAACGTATGGACGCGCTCACTCTTGAAGTTCGAGCTCATTATCCTCCTCCTCCCGACCCTCCGATGGATTAGACCTTTTCTCCATGCTTTCTTAGTATTTCAAACTTGGATTGTTTTTGATGTTTCTGGATTGTTTGTTTTGGATTGTTAAATGCTTGAATTTGTTATGGTTTGGATGATTGGATTTTGAACTTAATATATATATTTATTTGGTTTGGTTGAATTTTCTTACTTTTGCATCATTAGATATATATGACCAATTATGTCATTTCACATTTGTTTATTATTGGTTATGGAACTAATGGCTAATCTCTCTTTTGATTGTGATCTTAGCAGCTTAAGCTATATATATATATTTAAAATCAATTGGTTATGCTTTTCAAAACCTTGTTTAAAACATTTTAATGTCTTTTTGATTTAACAAAAAGGGGGATAAGTGTAAAAGTGTTAAAGGGGAGAAGTGTTGTAGTAAGGGAGAGTAATTTTTCAAAATTGATTTCAAAATTTTAGAAAATCTTAAAATAACACAAATGTTTTGTTATATCAAAAAGGGGGAGATTGTTGAAAACATTTTTGTGTTTTGATATAACAAATTAAGTTTAAATGAATTTTAAGATTTTACAAATGATTTTCTAAGTATATTCGATTTAATTAATCGAATATCAAATTATTACTCCAAGTCTTTCAAGTTCAAATTCAAACCTTACTAAATGTGTAAAATTGTGTTTTATACTTAAACTATTTTTGAATCAATTTTCATAAAGTATTTTGAACCAAAATCAAGCCTAAAATCAATTAATCAAAGTGATGCACCGATGCACCAATCCATGCATCGGTGCACCATGAATTAAATTGAACATCGAATGCATTTCATGCATCGATGCACTAAGGATTTTATGAAAACATCGAATGCATTTGATGTATCGATGCACCAGCCATGCATCAATGTACTCTGGCTATTTTGAAACATAGAATGCACTTGATGCATCGATGCACTCTTAGTGCACCGATGAACTAAGGGTCCAACGGTCAAAATATTTGAATTTTACACCGATGCACCATGGGTATGCATCGATGCACTAACGCTCCCAACTGCTTTAATTAATTGTTTTCACACTTAAACATCTCTATTGACTCCACTAAGCTTCCCTAACGTTCAGAATCATTTGAAAGTATATTTAAACAAGCTTAGAAGCCATTGATCAATAACAAGAAACAACAATCAACAAGAATCAAGAGAGAATCAAAGAGAAAGCATCAAACATTAAGTTTGAGCATTTCAAGCCTATTTTTCATTCAATATTTATTTTGCTTTCAAGAACACTACTTGTACTCAATTGTATTCATTTTTTAATGTTCTTTTCTTTGTTCTAGAATTGTGCAAACAATCTACCTTGTGAGGATTTCCTTGTAAGTTTGCAAATTTGCAATCTTCTCTTTGAGAAAGAGTGTTCTCAAGAATTGGGGTTTATTCTTGAGAGAGTTGTAAGGTTATCTCTTTGGCCTCAAAAGAAAGAACAAATTAGTGAATTTGTTGGAAAATCGTTAGTGTGGATAGCTAAGGTAGTGGACGTAGACTTTGATTGAGAAAGTCGAACCACTCTAAATCGCTGTGCAATTACTTTCAATTTTCTGCAAAAGCTTCTACTAAAATTTTAATTGCCAATTCACCCCCTCTTGACCGATTCCGTCGATCGATTAACTCAACATGCTTATTATGAACAATGCTCATATGTGCTCGTCGTGTGTGCCAACATCATCTTTATATATATAGTATATTACTTGATTATATAAAAACTTAATTACAGAAAAAGTTTCTTAATTAAAATTTTCAATTATTAATGAATATTTATTACATTAAATATATTTAATATTATTTTTAAAAAATAGTACTCATTAAGTTATAGATTTTATTGAAAAAGGTGATTATATAGACAGACTAGTAAGTGTATATTTATTTGAATTAATTTTTTATTTTTTATTTGAATTTAAGTTTCAATTGAAAGTGTGAATGAACATAGAAAATGATTTTTGACTATTTGATGGTACAATGTGAAAGGAAGTGTAATCAAAAATAAGATTTGATTGAGATTTATTAATTAATTCGATGGTTAAAGATGTCCATATTATTTTATTTTGTGTGAGTTTAAATTTTGATATTTGTCCTGATATTATAATATTTTTTAAATTCTATTTAATAAAAAATAATATCAGACCTAAATTAACTTAGTATTTAATTTTTTTGGACCGGAATCGTTTTGATCCGAACTGATATCGATCCGAACTGAAATTAACTTAACTTGAACCTGAACTGAATATAATGTCAAATCAACCTAAAAATGACTCGAACTTATTTGACTTAAATTCGAATTGAATATGATGACAAATCAACCTAAAAATAATTTGACTTATACTCGACCTAATCAAAATCGAACCATTAAATTGATCTGACTCAACATGTATCCGATTTTACATGACTTAACAAAATCTTATTGAAACTGAAACGATGACACGACTTTACAACCTTATTTCTACTTAATAAAAAATAATATCGGATTAAAACAAAGTATAGTTTCGAAAAAGGCATAATTAAGTTCCACGACACTAATTAGTATTTCTAAATCAAACTTTATTGGTGGTTGGCTTTAATTAGGTATAGTGAGAGAATTTGATTGAAAATAAAACTTAAAGGCAATATAACCATCTTCTCTATTTTTTTCTTCAAGGAAATGCTCTTTTAGAGGGGAAATAAAAAGATAAAAAAGGAAAATTAGACCGATTAATACATTTTTTTACATTCATATATTAATTTCTTTTATATACATTTAAAATAAATAAAAGTATATTTATTTTCTTTGAGATTTTTAAGGATTGTCAAAATCATTTTCATTAAGTTGATTACTTTTTTAGTTAAATTGAGAGGTATTATATTTTTAAAATGTCAAAATTTAAATCTATGTAAGATAGGACAACATAAATATTATTGGTCACACGGTCAATTATTGAATCTCAATTAAATTGATTATTTGAATTAAGTGTTAATAACCCAAACAACTTAATTAATTATATAAAATAATCATCGTAAACCGGTAAAAAAGGGCATTAAAATAAAAAGCCAATTAAAGACGGATTAAACCAACTAAAAATTGTTTCCAAATTATGAAACCGTCACGTGGTTTTAGTGGTAAAGAGAATGTTGTTCTTTCTATAGTATGGACGAAACTAGAAATTTATTATAGGGGGAGTTTAAATATTTTTATTTTCCATAAATGCAATTTTTTAATTGAGGGGACTTGGTAAAATTTTCTTTATTTTTCTTTTTAAATATACATTTTTAATATTAATTAATAAATAAAAATATATTTGGCCTCTGTCAGTGTTCTAAAAGTCTTATAAAGGATCCCTACTCTCTTTTTAAATTATAATTATTTTTACGATTTTGTATTTAACCATTTTCAACGTATTAAACCGAAAACTGATAAAGGATCCATAATTTGTTGGAAAATCCGCAAAAAGCCCATGCAGAATGAAAAAGCACTTCCCATTTCCAAATCAAAATTGCAATAACTCAACCATATTAATGGCAAGGAAAAGGCCGAATTAAGAATTTATTATAGCGAGAGTTAAAATATTTTTTATTTTTTATAAATGTAATTTTTTTTAATTGAAGATGTATGATAATTTTTTTTATTTAACTTTCAAAAATATATAATTTTTTTAATATTAATTAATAATTAAAAAATTTAGCGGGAGCCAAGGCTCCCCTTAGCCTCCCGATGTTCCGCCAGTGCAGCAAGGCAAGGTTACTGCCCGATGCCGTCGTTGATGAAAGACTTCCAGAGCTCTCAATCTTAGTCGTTGGATTTGGTCAAAGTAAAACAAGGAAATATGTTAGGAAAAAATAATCAAGTTCAAAGTTTCTTGGCATTTATTTATATTATCAATTTCGTCATTGCTGACTCTCACCTTAACAATTCCTAGACTTACTTAAAGGCAAGGAATTCCCTCCTGAATGTGTACAGAACTGTTAAGCAAATTAACAAACACACAAAAGGCAAACTTTTGAATTCCCCCGGCAGCAATGGCTACTGAGTATTTGCCCCCTCCATTGGATGCTACCGCTGAGGAACCGGCTCTCTTTGATGGAACTACCAGGTTCCACTCTTTCTTTTTTTCTTGGTGCTTTTACAATAGTCTTCTGTCTTTTTTTTTTGCTTGTGCTTATTGCTACATAATAAAGTTGACCCTGTTCTTCGTCCTTCTTTTGAAGGTTCTACATGACCTACACTTGCCCTTTCGCACAGCGTGTATGGATCACCAGGAACTCTAAAGGTTTGCAGGAAAAGATTAAGCTGGTTCCGTTGAACCTTCAAAATAGGCCTGCTTGGTACAAGGAGAAAGTTTACTCTGTCAACAAGGTCTGAAGTTATCAACATATTATCTCTTTTCAAAACGTTGATCACAAGTAATATGTTGAATCATGGTGTTAGTTAATTTCATTTTTCAGGTGCCGTCCTTGGAACATGATGGCAAAGTGATGGGGGAGAGTATTGATTTGATTAAATATGTTGATTCCAACTTCGAAGGCCCTTCTCTTTTGCCTAACGTAAGATCTGTCGAATACTGCTCTCAGTAGAGGCTTCTCTCTCTTGTTATCTATATTAACAAAGTCGTCTTTTGAAAATGTTTCAGGATGCTGACAAAAAGAAGTTCTTTGAGGAGCTGTTATCACACATAGACCAATTTGCAGGGAATGTGTTTACTACCTTTAGAGGAGACTCCACAACAGAAGCTGGTTAGTCTGAATGAAATATACTTCAGCTTTGTTGAGTGTAGTGTGTATTTGTATATGATATGATATGAAGCAGCTAAAACTTTGGACTTGCATCAGGTATTGCCTTTGATCGCTTGGAAAATGCTCTAAATAAATATGATGGCCCATTCCTCCTCGGCGACGAGTTTAGTCTGGTAAGTTGGCTCTCCAGTGATGCTAATTTGCTGTTGCTGTTTCTTACCTTTGTTGCAATGTGTTAGAAGATATGTAATATAGTTTGCTTGCACTAGTTGGAGTTTTTCTGCAAAGGTGTATGAATGATTTTTTGAATTGCAGGCGGACATTGCCTTCATTCCTCTGGTTGAAAGATTCCAAATCTACTTATCGGAGGTGTTTAAGTATGACATCACAGCAGGCAGGCCTAAAGTGGCAGCATGGATTGAGGTATAATCGAAAACATATGCCTAAACATTACTAGAGCAACATATGAATGTTTGCATCAGAAAATGTAGATAAAGATGGTTTAGAAATATAGCCAATATATTTCAATTGTTGAAACATTACTTAATAAATGCAGGCGGTGAACAAGATCGATGCGTATACGCAGACAAAGAAAGCTGATCCGAAAGAAATAGTGGCACTTTATAAGATGATGTTCTCGGTACTGTTCTGTGTATACCCTTAACAATCTAAGTATTTTACTATTATTATACCAAAAGTTGCTAATTAGTGGAATGATTTCTTGCTGTTGCAGGCCAAGAAGTGATGATATTGCCACCCTCATATGATTATATATTAATGTGTGTGTGTGACTTTTGATAAACTCTCTGCTTGGATCAGAGTGATTTGCTTTGAGTTAAGAATCAATGTTGTGTTAGTGTTTGGTACCTATATATATGAATAAGTTTGAAGCATGTGACATGATGGTGTTAAATTTCATAGTTGGATATGTACTGTGATTCTGATCTATCACCACATACTCTTTTAGTATCATAATCTCATCTTCTTACCATATCATTAACAAGTCAAACCAATCCACTCAATGTGTTTAATTTAAAAATAATTTGCAGCTTTTTTTTAATAATAATAATAATAATAATACTTAACTCATAGTGAATGATAATTTGATATAATCAACTTGAATTATATTAAGTTAAACTACATTTAAAAAATCAAATCTTATATATTTATGATCAAACAAGGTCGTTTATATTAAGTACTAATGAACATATTTGAAACTATTAAAATGAATAATTAGTCGGTTAAAAAGTGATCGAATATGAAACTTGTCAAAATAAGAGTAAAATCATAACAGAAAGCTAACCTCTTCATACGGTTGAGTCATATCATAGATTAACAATTTTAGTAAATACACCTCAAGATGATGGTAAGTGGTGATAAATGCTAATATATTCTATAGAAGTTGAATAATTCTTCACACTTATTTAGATGATTTCATCAAATCTATTTCGATATAAACCACTCGAATCAAGACTATGAAATCTTTAAGAATGTTATAGTAAGTTCAACCTCTCGAATTTTAAATACAATGAATTCATCAATTTTTCTAGAAAAAAACCAACCTATGAGATATGAATTCATTAAGAGTATAATACTCAACATTTCTTGTCGATGAATTCATCAAGTCTCACGGACGGAGTCGGAATTGAACTACGAGGGGGCAAGTTGTCTAACTTTAAAACAAAAAAGGATCTTTAAAATAAAATAAACCATAAAATTGAATGAGTCCTGATTTAATTCCACTAAATTTAAAATTAAAAGGTCTTAAAGAGTAATTAAACCAGAAAAATTAGAAGTCAAATCATAATTTCATTTTAAAATCAAAAGGGTCTTAAAAATAATTAAACCAATAAATTTTGGGAAGGCAAGAACTTAATTGTAATGATTTTAAAAATATAATAACCTAAAAATAATTAAACCATCAAAATTTGGGAGGAACAACCTACTATGTAGGTTCGTCCCTCTCAAGTCATTTTCAATAATATTATCCAACTTTAAGATATAAAATAATCAAGATTAAAAAACTCTTCATTTTCACGTCAGTGAAATCATAAAGTCCTTATTATGACCATTCAAAATCAGAAAAATGATTTCATTAAGGGAAAAAGCTTAATCTTATGTATGTACATTGCTCGTCGTAATAATAGATTTAATTGAAATGATGAGAATATAATTTAATAATTTTAGTTGATAAAAAAAGGATTTGTAAAAACAAATTTAGATATTACTCCTTTATTTAAAAATTGATTTAACTAAGTATAATATTATTCTCCATGTATTATTTAAGTGTCATACTAATATTTATCATATAATATAATATTAAAAAATATTAAAGCAAATATCATAATTTAATCTCAAAATAATTTATTTTATAATATTTTATACTATAGTTAAAATAACAAATATCGATGCACGAACCAATTGACCTCAATAGTTAGGAGATTCATTATTTTTCCTAGAGGTAATGGATTCGTTATTCAGGAATTTGAGCTTGTAAGGCCAAGTTCGAATCTTATCACCGTCAGTCTTGGTGGAAAATCTATAAATTCTTATATAAATCTCAATTGGATCTTAGGTATATCCCGACCTTAGACAAGAGAACCCACACCTTACCTAAACTTTTGTGTACCAAAAAATAATAATAAATATCAATAAAAAAGAGTTTTATTATTATTATTATTATAATATATGAGAGGAAAATAAAACGCTGTCGTAAATTAACAATATTATCAATTAAATAGAGAACACACAATAATATAATAAACAAGAACCGCAATCCAGGTTCCATTATCATTTTCCAATATGAACACTTTGGCGGTCGCATGTGACTATCATTTTAAAAAAAAGAAGTTATTGTCTGATGCCGTCGTTGATGACGACTCTCAGAACCCTCCATCTTGGTTCTTGGATTTGGAATGGTCAAAGTAAACCAAGGAAATGTATAAGGCGGTGGTGGGAGAAGCAAAGTTATTGACAATTAATCTTTTTATCAATTTCGTGATTGCTGAGTATCAGTTAAGCAGTTCTCGAATTTATCTGTAGGCAAAGAATTCCTTCCTGAATGTGGAGACAATTTTTAAGCAAATTTAATAGCATCAACAATCGAAATGGAACATTTTTGAAGCTGAGATGTACGGAATTCCCCAGGAACATGGCAACTGTGTAAGAATCTTCAACTATCTTCTCAAATTTCAAGCTTCTCTGCCAATTTTAGCTTTTGAGTTTCTCAAAAAATCTCCTTTTTTTCACTTCTTTGGTTTGTTATTTCAGAACTCTAGAGTACTTGCCTCCTCCATTGGATGCTACTGCAGAGCAACCGGCTATCTTTGATGGAACTACCAGGTTTCACTTTTTTTTCTTTTGTTGACGATGACAAGTTTATCTTGTGGGTGGTTCACCACTTTTAGTTTAAATGGAGAGTCACGGTCGAGAACAGCCGTTAGCTGATGTTTTTATGTGAGAGAGATAGTCATAAAGAAGATGAAGATGAGTCTAGATTGTAGGAGATTCGATTTATCAATCTTAATTGTGGTATTTATAGTGACCTGGTGTCAAATATAAAGTAATTATAGCTATTTGTTGATAGCCAAGGTAGATCTAGTAATTAGATCTTGTACTTCGTTTTAGCATGTCAGATCTTGTCTATGAACCATAATAAACTAGAAGATTTATGTACGGAGGATAAGGGCTCCTTTGAGACTCCGGTAACTTGTCTAGCGGATGGCTGGCAATTTCCAGAGGTTACCCTCAGGAGATATAACACCTTTTTGCGGCAATCTTGTTTGCTTGTGTTTATTGCTACAAAATAAAGTTGATCCTTGTCTTCTCCTCCCATTTGAAGGTTGTATATGACTTACACTTGCCCTTTTGCTCAGCGTGTGTGGATCACCAGGAATTATAAGGTTGTCTAATTCCCTTGGTTTAGTTTGCACTATTCTTTCCTTTTTTTCCCTCCTGATTTGTTGATTACTTTTCCTTTCCCCAAAATTTTCAAGTAAATAATTGTTGTGAATTTGATTGAGTTGCAGGGTTTGCAAGACAAGATTAAGTTGGTTCCTTTGAACCTAGAAAATAGACCTGCTGGTTCAAGGAAAAAGTTTACCCTGAAAATAAGGTGAGACATGTTCAATAAGGAATTATGTGAATTTGTCATGGTAAAATGTGTTTTGATAAATGAACAATTCAGACAAAAAAAGGGTTGAAAATCTGTTGTGAACTTGGTAGAGCTACTTGATCTTGCATTGGATTGCATCTCCAAGTTCCATTGAGAATTGTCAAGAAAAAATCTCTGTATGAGAATCAAAATAGTGCTTTGATGAAAATGTCAATCCAATGTTCTTTTATTAATTATTATGTTAATGAATTTCATTTTCAGGTTCCAGCCTTGGAACATAATGGCAAAGTCATTGGGGACAGTCTTGATTTGATTAAATATGTTAATAGCAACTTTGCAGGGCCTTCCCTTTTACCTAATGTAAGATCTGTTGAATTGTTTAGTGCTCTCGGTGGAGATTTCTCTCCCGTTATCTATATTAACTAAGCAGTCTCTTAAAAATGTTTTAGGATCCCGAAAAACGAAAGTTATACGAGGAGCTGTTATCAGACATGGACAAATTTGCAGGGATGGTGTTTACTACATTTAAAGGAGACTCAACAACTGAAGCTGGTTAGTCTAAAAGAGACTTCCGTTTTACCGAGTGTATCATGTATCTGTATATAATACGATATGAACCAGCTAAATCTTAGGACCTGCATCAGGTGTTGCTTTTGATCACTTGGAACATGCTCTTACAAAATATGATGGCCCATTCCTCCTTGGCGATGAGTTTTCTCTGGTAAGTTGGTTCTCCAGTGGTGCTAAATTGTTTTGGCAGTGCTGTAATATTGTCACCGTATGTTTCTTAAATGAATGGTAATGTGTGAAAGCTATGTAAAAGGTTGAATTAATGATAAACTTTCAGGATAAAAAAAAAAGGCTTATAGCTTGCTAATAGTGATATCATTATGTATCTTTTGTTTTTCTGCAAAGATCTATGAATGATTTTGTCATATTTTCAGGCGGACGTTGCCTACATTACGTTAGTAGAAAGATTCCAGATCTACTTATCGGAGGTATTTAATTACGACATCGCAGTCGGCAGGCCAAAATTAACAGCATGGATTGAGGTATAATTTAAATCATATGCTTACCTTCAGATTTATAGCCACTTTGCAGCTGAAGACATGCAGGTTTTAGCAATGTTCTTAAAATGCTTTTGCACATTGTGAGTTTCTTTTTGTACAAAGGAGGCCTCAAATGAGATATAGGAAGAAATAACAGATATCGGGATTCAAAAACGAGCCTATTAGACGTCATTTCTTAAGAACGGTTGCATGAACCAACCGGACTATGTCCCAATTTGCATCTAGAGTTGTTTTGCTTGCATTTTGTGTTCCATGCCTCCATGTTTGTCTGCAATGTCATATTCTGCAACATTTGTTGTTATAACTTCATGATGCAGGCAGCGAACAAGATCGATGCGTATAAGCAGACGAAGAAAACTGATCCAAATGAATTAGTGGCACTCTATAAGAAGATGTTCAAAGTACTATTCTGTTCATACCCTTAGATTATTAGAATTGCATCATTAATTATTATACCAGAAGTTTCTAACCAGTGAAATAAATTCTTATTGTTGCAGGCCTAGAAGCGATGAAATTGCCACCATCATATGAATGTGTGTGAGAAAGAATGACAATGAGCTGTGCTTAGATCAGTGATTTGTTTTCTCGGTTAAGCATCTATGGTGTACTTGTATCTGCCACCTATATGAATAAATTTGCTAGTAGTTATATCTAGACCGGGACAGACACATTATGGTTGAACTTATAAAATTTCAAGATCGCTTATGAAAATAA